ACACGGACTTAAGCTTCTGATTTTGACATAGAGAAAATTCACTCAGATGGGTGAAGTTATATATCGCCTCCATACCCAAACAGGATGAAAGCCCCACTGTATTTACATATGAAAGCAGCGTTGTATTAGGCACTAGTAAAAGAAAAGGTGAAAAAGGCCCTTTGCTGAGAGCTTAAATTGTGATTGGGTGACTAACTGGTGTGCAAGGTATGCCTCACTGCTCTGTCAGGTGCACCCCCAAGTTTTAGGTAATAATAGGCTTGGTTTAAGATGTGGTGGTGTGATATACTGACAAATAGGGTTAGGTGTGTGTTGAAAAATTACCCATGCATAAATATGCTTGAGCCAAAAAGATGTTGAGAACCACTTGTCTGGTTAATGCAAGACATGGTGAGTGGCTCTAACAAAAAAGACAGAAGCAGGACTGGTGCGTCCTTGCCTGCTGTGTGCTCTCTGAGCTCTGATGGAGAAGGCTTTATTTGTCATGTCAGACTGAGGTCTGGTGTATAGAGACATATGGAGGACTTCAGGCCAACAGGACTGTGCAGCACTTAATATGAGCAGTGCTATGGTCTCAGGACAAGGAAAACAGCTTCCATTCCATAAATTTGCCTGGGAATCAGCTAAACAAGTGGGTTTAGAGACTAGACTTAGGTGACAATGCGATATCTTGTGGACTTGCAGTCTTCCTGGGATGTTAAAAATGAAGCTGCTTGAAAAAGAAGTGAATAAAGTGGTCTTTTAAACTGGAAAAACTGAGTAAGCAGAGGTGTAAAAAGAATACGTAAGGAGACTGAAGGCATGGGTGGGTAGGACGGCTGTGATGTTATAAGGAAGGGTATCCCTCCTGGGGATGTCCTGCTAACAGGAAGATTAATACACAGCGTGGGCTTTCCAGGCCCCTGTCCATATTGCAGTTGATTTCTTGCAAGAAATAAAGCTTATGTTTAGTTTATAAGAGAACTGATAACCAGTGTATTGGGGGGTGATGGGCAAGGAGATGGACATAGCCAGAGCAACTTTATGATGTAACAGTTCTGAGTCTTGGGGAACTAAGGATGTGTTTATGTCTCTGCATAGTGTGTTGTACTCCCAGACCTTGCTCAATACCAATTTGGTCTCGAATGAAAGTTGACCATCAGAAATGTTGCAGAGGAATGTGCGACAACAATAGCATGGATAGCAGACACAGAAAAGATGGGATCTAGGACTTTTGTAGAGGAAAAACTGTCAAGTGTTGAAAATAGTCTGAATGGTACTGCATCCAAGAAAAAGGTGAGGATTCCGTGGGCATGCACCTGGGTGGCAGAGAGAACAGGCATGCTGCTGGAAGCAGCCGAAGGTGGAAAGGAGGGAGAGTCTGTGAAGGAAGGCACGAATTCATGCAGTAGAAAAACACCCAGAAGGAAGTTTTAGAGAGAAGGTTTCGGAGTTATTAAAGAGTGTGAGGATTTGATTACAGAAGTTTCTTTTGAAGATGCAATTATTAATGAAGACAGATCATATATCAAATAGTTCTAAACAAGGAGCTCAGGGTCTTCTGGAAATTACAGTTGGTACATCTGCAATGCTCTATGGCAACTACTTGATCTAGCCTTGAACAAAATAACTATTCTATGAAAAAGTACCAAGGGCATAATCAGTAAAGAACGCTCCTGTTTGCCACAGTTTTCATCAATCATTAATCGGCCTTTCTTCTTTCCAGTTCAGTTTTCTTCTGTTTCTGCTTTGCTCAGCTCCAGGCGTTTTTGTTTTTTTTTTTTTTTTTTTTTTTTTTTTTTTTTGTGTGTGTGTGTGTGTGTGTGTGGTGCAGTTGCACTGATGCCTCAGTGGAAGTTTACATGTTGAGGAAAGGAGTTTCCTGAACTGCTTCTGCCATAAACATTCCAGCTAAACGCTACAGCCTGGAAGGGCTCCAGAGCAGAGACCCTGAAAAACACAGCCCAGCTGGTCTGAGAGATAATAGCTGCCAAATGAGTGTAGCTGTCTGCGAGAAGTCATGCACAGGGATATGGCTTTGACTCTTCTGTCCTCCTGTAGTTTGAAATTTGCATCAAAGCCATTAGGCTGGTTTTGCCATGCTAATGAAGTGGTCTTGTTCAAAGACTAATGGTGATAAGAAATCTATATTTAATGGCCGTGGAGGTCCTGGCGTGTGGCACGGGTTGTTGTCTACTCACTTCTAGTTATGACTACATATTGGCATATGTTTCTTTCTCTTAATTGTATTCTTAGTGATTGAAGTATAGCCAATACATAGTGCTGATGCTCAAGAATAAATATTTTTCTATCTCTGGGACCTTTGGTTCTTTTCCTTGCAAAGTCAATCAACCAGTTTGCCTGTCATGCAACTATATTCAGAGCTGTACTGCCAGTACGTTTGCACAAGAGGAGACAGGTCTGATCTGACTGGAAGCAGGGTGACTGCAGGTGTGTGACCACGCAGTGTGATGTGGGAGCCAGTTTGAGCTGTTGGGTGGCAAATCAAACTCTTCTGGCACGGTGAACTTAAGAGTACTACTTTGATTACGTAGGCTGGACTGGCTTTATACTGTAGGTTCTGGCTTAGACAAAGTTGATAGAGACGAAAGGTAATTGTTAGCATTAAAGTTAGTTGGTGAGATGAAAAGGATTGTATGTGCAACTGTACGTGCAATTCACATCCAGTGGAAATATTCTGCAGAATCATCAGATTTTATTGTGGTTCTGTACTGAGGTCAGGCATAGCTCTTTTTACCAGGAAAAGCATTGAAAATGTTCTCCATGAGATGCCGAATGCTTTCCGGAGCTTCCCAAATTAAATGAGGAACAAAGTCAGTGCAGTAACCACCAAAGAGACACAGGATGCCGCTCACCGGCAGCCTGGCCACGCTTACCACCAAGCACAGTTAGTGCTGGGCCGTGCCGAGAGCCCCGCGAAGCAGCGTTTCATCTGGCCAGTCCTTTCCTGCTGACGGGTTAGGATCTAACCCCTAAAACGGCAAAACAAAACACCCTTTCTCCTCACAGCACCTTAGGGACATTATTTTAACACCTCTGCCCCAAATGTTCATAAATTCCCTTGTGTTGCATTTTCCTATCAGAATCTGAATCCCCTATATTTCGTTTCCATGCACTACCATTTTAACCTATTAAAAATGGAAGATCACCTCTATCTATCCCTTGTAGAGGGTGATAGAGCACATTCGGTATACATTCAATTTCAAACTTTACACTGTGGCTGTTCCAGGGTAAGAATTTAGAGGAGAAAATGTGAATCTGATTGCATATAAAAGATGTGCTTTGCTTGTTTTAAAAATAAAAGCAGACCTATGGCAGTAGAAGCAGTAAAGGACACCACGTTCCCCCCACCGCTTCTCTCCATTTCTAGCCAGAGCTGCTCTGTCCACTTCTTTTTGATTACTTTGGATTGGAATCACAGCCGGTGGGTCTGAGGGCAGTTAGCAGGATCGGTGGGAAGACTCACGCCTCTTTTTGTACTCTGTGTGCTCTGGGGAGCAGAAGCCCATCGGCTGCCGATGCCGTTAGCCGGGCCGGGGGTGGTTTGGGGAGGGGGCAGAGGCTTGGCGGCCCCCGGCCGCGCTCTGAGCGGCCTGGCGTGACCCCGTTTCACCGCGTTGGTGGCGCCGACAAAGCGGTGAGCAGCGGCCCCCGCCAACGCCGCCTGCGTGTGCGTGTCCAGACCACGCGGGGGAACCAACCCCCTCTGCTGCGATCCCTCGCAGAAGAACGGCCTAGCTCTCGGAGGACGGCGTTTTCGCAGGGGGGGGGTGTGTGGGGAACATCACGATCAGCGGGATCCCCGCAGGACCCGGTGGACACGGAGCTCCACGCGGGCGGACCCGGCTTGACTCCCCAGCCCCGCCCCGCCCCGCCCCGCCTCATCGAGCGCCCCTGGGCACCACGCCGCGCGCTCGCGTCACCGCCCACAGGCTCGGCCTCATTGGTCGGGGGCGGTGCTCATCCTCTGGGCCAGCCAATCAGGCTCAAGCAGCTTCGCGGGCGCGGGGACGCCGGGGCCTCATTAAGACGCGGGGTCCACCCCTCGGCAGGCGCGGCGGGCGGTGTTTGGGGCGCCTTGGTGGAGTTGCGACCGCCTGCGGGGATCCCGGTAAAGCAGCGCGGGTTGGGTCTGTTAATCCTGGAGAGAGATTGTCGGGACCCGGGGGAGGTAGGGGGGGAGGGTGTGCAGGAGGGCTACCTTGGCGGGTGTCGGGGCCCGGAGTCCGTGTGGGGTCCCTTGAGGGGAAGGACGGTGGTGCGGGGGCCCGGGGCAGGTAGTGGCTTTCTGAGGAGGAGGGGGGGGGGGGGGGGGGGGGGGATTAGCTGTGAGGTAACTCGTGTCTGTGTGATGGTGGTGGGTGCTGCCCCGCTCCTGGGCATCCCCTCGTGTGTTTGGGGGTGCGTGTGGGGGTTGTTGCCCTGCGTGTGGGTGGGGTGAGCCCCTCCGTTCTTAGGGAGGGCTGAGAGGAAAAGGGGCGGTTGGTAACGAGGGCTGAGCAGGTGAGCTTGTGCTGGTTGGCGCGAGGAGCCCTGGAGATGACCTCCTCTGGCAGTTAGAACGTGAAACCGTGCTTGGCGAAAAGCGCTGCCGATGTAAGATGTTACCCGGGGCACCTTGGTCTGTTCTGTGCTGAGCTGGGGCTCTGTGTTTCTGTTCTGTGCTGGGTCCGGGTCTGCTGTCTGTATTCTCCGTGGTGTCCCAGAGGTTTTGGTGGACTTCTGTGCACTAAAGCTATAGTAATTGCAGTTTAAACAAGTCTTGGGGAGCAAATGATATCCTGGGGCATCAGGGAGACAAGAAACTTTCCCTTGTTGGAAATGCAGGAGCTGTGCATTTGCATTTTTTTGGGAGAAGGAAATTGGTAGCTTTCCCAGTCCATACAAGAGGTATGTGCTCCATTTTCTTACAGCTTGGCGAGCAAATGATGGTTGGCATAACCATTTGCACTTGTGGCTTCTTTCTGTATGAGCACTTGGTGTTTATTCTCTTCCTGCAGGTAACTAGCCAAGAGCGTGTGGTGGCCTCTGTATAAAGCAGCTCTTGAGCCTGTGCTGAGATTTGTGTAGATTGTTCCTTTGCCATAGGAAAGGTGAGTAGGATTATTTCCATGTGTTGCTCTGAGGCTTTCTAGCTTAAACGATTCCATAAGTGAACTGGTATTTAAAAAACCTCTCTGACTGCTAGTCCTTTCTAAATTTGTTTAAGAATGGTGATTTTGCCTAGTCTTTTATATAACTGGAGTTTATGGTCCCCAGATGATTTTTAGGTCTTTCTATGAGTCTTTTTTTTTTTTGTGTGTGTGTTATTTATTGAGGGTTTTTAATTGTTTTTGTCCAGGAGTACTCAACTGATAGTTTGTGTGAACAGGTGCATCTCCTTTATTGTTAGGCATTGCTTTTTGGTATTGGGTCTTAATTCAGTTTTGTAAATTATGCAATCTGTTCCTGTGCATAATACAGTCAATTTATCTGAACAATAAGATAACTACAGAGATAGAGCTTTTTATGGGTCTATGTTTTGTGTAGTAGTTTGTGCTGTGAACAGACTGCAATTTTTAATCATATCTATGGGATGTTAGAGAAAGCATTTCCATCTAAATCCAATGTGACCTATCTTATACTCCCTTTTGTTTCAAACCTGGGATCTTAAAGGGTGTACTTTAGTATTGTATCTGATGTGACGTGACACCTGGATCCTAACCATGGTTGATTGCTTTGCCTAATGTGCAACTGATTATTGTGAGTGGAAATAGTAGAACAAGCAAGATAATTTGTCTGAGATGCTCCTTGTACACAAAATTCAGGCCTCCTTTGCATGAAATCACAGAAGACTTTCCTTTGTATTTACCAACTGTCTATTGTGTGTGTCAGACAATACCTCCTTATAGTCTAAAAAATCTCAGTCCTCAAAGGCTTTTTAATCCTGAGCCGTACCAGTAGTCAGAAGTTAGAACTGAGGAGGTGTTGTGTAGTGTCCTTGTGTGATGTAGACTGTCTTCTGTGGGAGTGAAGAACTAAGCTGTTCTTACAGTTAAGATCAAATGACTGAGGCTGTTAACGAATTCAACTTTTCTGTGCGCTTTTTGGAAGTCTGGTAAAAATGAATGCTGATACTGTGCTGGGTACTTCCCAAAACCCAGAGTGCATAGGCCTAACCTATCCTACTGCCTAATTCAGGGTCACAGTGGACCTGAATCTGAGACACTTGGGGACTTGGAGTGTGATTGAAGCAGCTCCAACTGGTTTAAGATGATGGAAGCTCCCATATGTATATCTCTTATGGAAGTCTAGTCTAAAGTTGGGTGTTCAGAAATCAGACTTAAGTCTCCCACTGTCCAAGGTTTTGAGAGCACTTAATGGTGATGTGAGTATATAACAGTCTTCCCAGTGCAGAGAGTTCTACTTATATATTTTCCCCTAACCTGAGCATAGCTACCTAGTCGGTGATATCTCAGGTCAGAGTGATCAGGTAGGGCTTTCAGAGTTGCAGTGCTGTGTTAGATGAACCTTTCAGGCATCACACAACCTGCTAGAAGATCTGTGTCCAAATTGCAAAAGCTTGGATGAGTGGTTAAAATCCATCAATCCATCTTCCCTTGATGACAATCCAGAGGTGGTCTTGCTTAGTCAACAGGAGCAGAGAACGGTGCCATTTCACCTTATGAATGTGTAGCACTCTATTAGAGGGCAGCAAATACACTATTTGTGCCCACTGCAAAAGTAAAAACATTAATCTTGGTGCCTGAGAATCTGGCTTTCTAATTCATAGACACAAGAGGGAAAAATAGACTAGAAAGTCAGGAAGGAATTGGAATAATCTGAGATCACTTCTGGATTCAGTGAAATGAGCATTTACTAGCTGTGCACTGCATCCCAGAGTAGCTGTGTTGTTGCACTTGAGTGTTGGAGCAATGATGGAGGAGGTGACCTGGGGAAAAATCAAGCAGAGACTGGCATAATTAGCAGGACAGGATGGAGATGTGAGGAAAAGTTATACAGAATGTGATTATGGTGACATCTTCTTTGAGGAAAGTTAATAAGGTTCTGTGTACTACCAGTTCCAATACTGTGGTCCTCCTTTCCAGTTGCTCTGGTCGAGGATCACAGTTGCTGTCTGTGCTTGCGTTCACTTGGAGCCAATGTGGGTCTGGGCAGCTCTTTATGAGCTTGGGCTCTGCATTTCACCTCTAAGCTCACCAGTGAGAGCGAGATCTGCTACTCTGGTTGGGAGCCTCTGATGCTGAATGAGGCTCTGTTTAAGCACTTGAGGGAAATCTGTAGGCAGGAGCAGCTTGTACAAATTGGCTACCAATCAATTGGTTAAGTGAGCTAGTTGCGACAAGCTGGGTGGAGGATGGTACTTTGCCTCCCACATGAGGGTGGGAAGGAATTCAAAGCCAGGAGACCTGAAAGGTAAAAATATACTCAGCAGACACTTGTCTTTGGTTGTTTTGATTCTGATTGTTGTTTACTCTTTGCTGCCATGTTACTACTTGTAATAAATTATCTGTGGGATGTTTGATATCTGTCTTGTGTCTCTGTCCAGATGCATCATTATTAGATGCCACACCAGTTGTCATCTGTGCTAAGCTGCAACCAAAATGGCTAAGTACAGGCTTGTTCTCTTAAGACATGGGGAAGGAGCTTGGAATAAGGAGAATCGCTTCTGCAGCTGGGTGGACCAGAAGCTGAGCAGTGATGGGATAAAGGAAGCTCAGAACTGTGGCAAACACCTTAAAGCACTGGGCTTTGAGTTTGACCTCGTCTTCACCTCTGTGCTCAGCCGCTCCATCCAGACTGCATGGCTTATCCTGGAAGAGATGGGCCAAGAGTGGGTCCCCATTCAGAGTTCCTGGCGACTGAATGAACGTCATTATGGTGCACTGATCGGTCTCAATAGAGCAGAAATGGCTCTGAATCATGGGGAGGAGCAAGTGAAAATATGGAGGAGAAGCTATGATGTTACCCCACCTCCTATAACTGAATCTCATCCTTACTATGAAGAGATATACAATGATCGCCGGTATAAATGCAGTGATGTTTCTCAGGATAATCTCCCAAAGGCTGAAAGTCTAAAAGATGTGCTTGATAGACTCCTTCCCTATTGGAATGAGAAGATAGTGCCAGAACTGAGGAGTGGCAAAATGATCCTTATCTCTGCTCATGGTAACAGCAGCAGGGCATTGCTGAAGCACCTGGAAGGTAAGGGTCTTCCTTTTAGCCTCTCCTTCTTCATACTCAACTGCTTAGAGCTTTGCATCTTGTTCTGTAGTGTATATTACTTATCTCAGCAATTTAATGCTTAATGTCTGTGGTCTCCAAGAAGTTTAAAAAGTTGGCCTTTGGAAGAGAAATCAAGCTGGGGGATGTGGAAGGGGGAGAGAATTAGTTTAGGTTAATGTAGCTCAGGAAAGAGCCAGATACTTTAACTGTGTTTGTCACTGCTCATTTTAATCTACTGTAGTCAAACTAACTTTGTGGTTGGACTAAATAGACAAAAACTCTTCAGGATCTTAACTATTTTTGGATTTATTCAGCTGCTTTGTTGGGAAGATTAAAGTAATAATCTCTTCATTAAAGAAGCATCGCTGTAACACAGCAGAATAAAGTGTTGTCTTGGGTTGTGGAAGGCATTGTTGACTGTTACTGTGGTGGCTCACTTTAAGGCTTCATTCTTGGTAATTTTTTACTTAAAGCTGCTGTGACAGAGCTCTGCGGGGAGTAGGTACTCGTTAAAGGTACTTGCAAATACTGTATTATTTTCCAATATAGAAAAAGCCTACCAATAAACAGCTAAGTTGGTAGCTTAGCATAAGATTGCTTATTTATTTGGGATTTAAAGGGTGTGATTTATCTTTAAGTCATTGCCAGATTCTTTTCCCTTCTACCTTTTCTTTAATGACATGGCTTTTAATTTAGGTCATCCTGAACTGGAAGAGGGACTATGTTAATTTCTTTGTGGGTAGAGAAGAATTCAGTGATAATACATGTATGAATGCAGCCTTCTAGAGTTGTAGTTGTGCAAGTATGCACAGACTGGATTGTGTCCCCTCAATTTTTTTTAGCTATAAACCCTTTTGGTGTATGCCTCTAGAGCTCTGACTCTGCTGAGCACTTTTTGCATTCAGACATGCTGGAACAGTCAGGGCAGCTGATGCTTTAGCAGGAGTCAGAAGCCCAGGGAATAAGCAGGTACAAGTGGCTTCTGGAACTACAGAGGCTGTGAATTCTGGGGTACAGACCACTGCTTGGATGAAGGAGGACGGCTAGTGCAGCCAGTTCCACTGATGTGGTCAGAGTGGTTATCCATACTATGTGAAACAGTAGAATTATGAAGGAAAAAGGGGTAGGGGGATTTGCAGCCATAGTGTCTCCCCACCCAAGAACTGAACCAGTTCTGTGAAACTGCGCTGGCCAAGCCCTCTGGGGGTGAAATGCTGTAAGCTGACCACAGCTTCAGCGGAGACCCTGGGCCCCTTTCTGCGTAGGTATGCACCAAGGCTAGAGCTGACAGCACCAGTGACTGGGGAAGGTTACTTTAAAGTTAGTATGGCTGGAATCCTTGCTGCATTGAGATCAGAGAGAACAGTGGAATTTAGAGCAGCTGCAAAGCTTTTCTTTGGGATGGTCTGTTAGGTGTAACTCTTCAAGGGCTGCCCACACTCCACCAAGGTAGACTAGAGCTGTATCTCTTGTCTGTTCTACACTATACCTTGCCTCTCCCAGCATGTGCTTACGTAGGGAAATGTGAGGAATCTTTGGCAGAGGATCTAGTTCTTTTGACCAAGGGCTGTCCATCAGCTACCTCAGCTCCCACACAGGAACAATTGCCAGATACATGCTGGCTCTTCTGCCCTTTAGGCAGTGGAGATTTGGATTACTGCAGAGCTGGCCTGAAGGGTGGCATGAACAGAGCTTTAAGACCCCTGTTATCGCAACCTGCTCTTTTTCTTTCAGAGCTCCAGCCTATGTCTAGCTGGATCTAAGAGGTTCCTTGTCTGCATTACTGACCGTCTCTCCCTTTCTCTCCTGAAAGAGTGTGAGTTGTGAGCTGCTCTGGAACCTTGCTGGAGTTGGACCTGATTCAACAGTGCTTACAATTTGTCAGTCTACTGTATTTATAGCATCCACTGTGTGGTGGCCTTTGTTTTTGTGGACCTTTTTTGACAAGCTCAGTGTGTCCTGCACTTGAGGGGAAGTTTCTAGGCCCCTCTGTCTTAGCTGGAGCCATGTTTTTGGCATTTAGAAAATTGGGCTACAAAAGCCTCAAGCAGCAATCCTACATGACTGCTTGGATGTCTTAGTCATAGTGATAACTTAATCTTGGAAGATGTAGCTTGGAAACTTTAAATGGCAGGAAATATGAATGTTTTCATTCAGTTTGATATGATGAAATGATTCTAATTGTTTCAGGGTGAAATCTAATGTCTTTTCTGAAAGACTTCAGGGTATGCTTGAAACTACTATTTCAAGGAGGTAATTTTTTGAATCAGGCCTGCAGTTCTTAATCTGAATGTTTTCCTTGTTATGAGTAACTGGTAAAGAGCTTGAAATGTGGATTTGCTTTCTACTTGCATGCAAATCGTCAGAGCAATAGAATGTCAGGCTAACAAGGCTTTGATTGTGGGTTTGGATTTTGTTCTTGTTTTCTCAGCGCTCAGGGTAGATATCTTTAAGGTACATGAAACATCTGTAGGATCTGTCATGGCCTGCATGTGAGGATTTAAAGTGAAACTCCAGTAGTATTTCTGAAGACAGTATTTAACACAAACTGATCATACTCTGGTATGCCCTTGGAGGTCAGAAACAGCAGCTTCTCTGAGAGCTTGTTCTTTTGTCCCAGTGGCCTGAGTGACATTTTTCCTAGTGGATGCTGCTGAAGATAGCAGTGCTGTGAGCCGCTGGTGCCCAGCGGGTATGCTGGACTGTGTTCCTTGTAGGTAATCCGTATCAATTTGATAGATGCTGCCAAGGACAAGTGTGGCTGTTTTGTGCAATCCTGTCAAAGATACAATGTTGGCATCAATTTTTGAAGTCTTTAACTGAGCTTGTTCAGTCCTTTCAGAGCACTTATTCTTTGCACTATTTTCAGGTGATGCATGGAATGATGCTAGGAATCATTGGCACAACTAAAAATTGGCAGAGCAAGAGGACAGTGTTTATTATAGGTTGTTAGAGTTGCAAAAGGTTCTCTAGAAGTAACACTTTCTTCTTCAGGCAGCAGTCTTGTGCTTGCTGGTGGAAGTGTCTTGTAATTTAGCAACTGTTTTGTTCTGTGACACCTATTGGTATGGACTGTGATCTGTAGCTCGAGTCTTTAAACAGACCATATCTTTTTTTCTTTCATGGTGTGCCATCTCTGAAAAAGGAATAGCAAGAAGATGTTAACGAGGAGGATATCTAAAGTAATGATATAAAACTGGTACAATTGATGTTTCAGCATCTAAAGTAAAATCTTATTGATTATGAAAGTGTCAGTTGCCCAAATCTGCTAAATAAAGCACCCTAGATGCACAGGGTCTATTTACAGGTGACTTTTTCAATTCTTTGAAGGAATAATAGTTTTCTCTTATTGAATACCTGATATTTCAGATTAAGACCCTCTTAGTAGTGTCCCATTATGAAGACAACATTAGTGTGATAGTTGTGACCACTTTGCCCTGTTTCTGTTGAAGTACTAATTGGAGACCAAATCTAATGGACCAATTTTCCAGATGACTGACAGAAGGATTGATGGGCTGTCTCAACTTTTCTTTGTTTCTGACCATTTAACTCTAAGAACTGGCATTCAGTACCTCAAGACAGGGTCTTGTGGAAGGCCTGATTCTAGAATTTCCTCCCTGTTGAAAGTCTGCCATATCTTAGATAGAGTATAGTTGTCACTGAGCCTTGTGTTCAAGGTGAAAAATGGAGGGGAGGAGCTACCTGGTCTCTTGAAGAAAGATGCATATGTTGCACTCATTGGGCTTGTTTGGTTGTGGTTGTAGAGCTGGGACAAAGCTCTGGAACTGGGCTCACAGGCAGAATGTCGTCACTGGGGGGTTTGATACTGGTCTTACCAGTTGCTGAGCAGGGAGAGCAGTGCCCTTGAGGATTCTACTTTCTTGTATTACTATGGGCGTGATACTTGTGCAGTTAGAGTATTCCAGTAGTTTACATGCTGGAGCTACACAGTTGTGGTGTGGGTTGTACATTGAGGACTACCTACTAAGATTATTTTGCTGCTTTAGCTGCTGAACCTCCTTAAGAAAATACGTGACCGGTGTCTGAGAACAGTTACACAAACCAGCTTGAGATGTGACAGCTCACTGCTGCTGAGATGAGATGGTCTTGCACTCCCCATCACTCATCCCATCTTTGCTCTGTGCTTCTGCTGCTTATTTCTCGTGAGCTTGTTTGAGCCTTTTTGCAAGTTAACTTGGCCAGTAAACTGGCAAGAAACAGCAAGGAGGGGGTAGTTTTCTGTCATGGTGGTTTCAGTCAGCTCAGGGAAGGGGCTGGCGAGGGCCTGATGATGGTGCAAAAGGGCTGGAACAACCTGACCATGACAAAGGTTTTAGACATGAGTTGTTAGTAACTGGTTTTCTCAAACTTGGGCTCAAGGGACTCTCAATACTGCTTCAGCAAGAGATGGAAACCTTTTGTCAGAGCCCTGTCCAAGAGCAGTATGTATGCTGGTAGGCTCCAGAGCTGCATGCTTGGAGAATTCCATATGTCACAGTGTTGCCTTGAGTTTATTGTGGTGGTAGCACAGCTTGGGTCTCTACTGGAGACTTCTGGGGCTTTCTCACCTAAAGCTAGTGCTAGCAGTAGCAAATTTCATGCCTCTTTCAGCTGATTTAATCTTGGACTGCCTGAGGAGTTTAAGGCAGGCTGGATTTATCTACTGCATGGGAATATGATAGATTCATGGTTTGCTTTCCTACGCTGTCTCATATTTACATGGCCTCAGTAATAACCACAGTCAAAGTCAGACTGTGATCAGAAGCTGTTTATGCAATGACGTTGTATTGGGTCTGACTGAGATGGAGTTGGCTTTCCCCATAGCAGCCCACAGTTGTTCTCCGTGCCCTGTGATGGGTGCTGAAGAACTCTGGTGGGTTGACCTTGGCTGGACACCGGGTGCCCACCGAAGCTGCTCTATTAATCCACTCCTCAGCAGGACTGTGGGGGGAAGAAATTAAGGTGGAAAAAACTCCTGG